CCGCAGCACTGTGGACATTTGTTCCAGAGGGTTCCCTGTGGGGACCTTCCTGCGCACTGTAGGGTGTGCAGCACCCCTGACCCCAATCCAGTGAGGCCAGTAGCTCGGCCCCAGTTGTCACCATCAAGAGTGTCTCAGCAGACACGGCCGAGTGTCCTGTCCCCTGTGGGGCAAAGCTGCCCGGGCTGACGGCCCCCGAGCCCCCCCGGCCGCCTTGCCGACGGAGCTGTGTGCTCTGTGCTGCGTGGCTTACACAGCCAAATCCTGCCCCTGTTCCGTGTGACTGCATCTCACACTCGGCCGGGCAGAGTTACCCAAGCACAAGGCCATCATTGTGGGCCGAGTTTGCCTCAGCAAAGACCTGGTCGGGCAGATGGTGCCAGAGAAGCCGAACCCCACCAGGTGGGGTGGGGTCAGCCAGGCCTAGAGGCCAGGGCAGAGGGAACAGAGCTAGCCCAAGGATGGAGGTGATGAGGTGCCGTAATCCCAGGGGCGGCAGGTCCCACACTCCAGGTGATTTGGGTCCTGGTGGCTGTGAAAGCAACTGTGACAAGAGCCCCAGGACCAGGCCAGCAGCCGGTGCTTCTGCAGGGGAGCAGGGGATGGTGCTGAGCCTGCGGGGGTCCTGGGAAGCTCCTCCGTCGGGAGGAACAGGAGAGCCGGGGGCTGGGCTGCACGGGCTGCACCAGGCCAGGGCGGGTCCAGTGCAGCTTAGGACTGGCCAGGCTGAGCAGGGGCACCTGAGGCTGAGGGGCAGCGGTCCGGAGACCTCCCCTCCCTCCCCCTGCTGACCCCCAGCCCACGGTCCCTCACTCCCAAGCCCCCGAATGTGTGCTGGGGGCACCAAGTCAGGCTGTTGAGTGGCAACAGGAAAATCGAATGGCATGGCTTCTAAGAGCTCAGCCACTGGGGGCCCAACCCTAAGCAGCAGCAGCAGGAAATCACCCAGAAGTCACCCAAAAGGTGGCACGGACCATCTGGAAGCCTCGGCGATGCAGCCCTGGGATCTCTGCTGGCTTGAAGCGAAGTACACATGTGGGCTAGTTCTTGGCACAGAGTCCCAGGGACTCAGGGAGAGCACCGTCCCAGGGGAGGGGACCCGAGCAGAGCAAGTGCCTGTGATATCCGGCGTTTACCCATCAGTTTGGGAAGTGAGCCCGACTGTTTGTGGGAATGTGAACAGGAAATATTCCCTGTTCCCAGAGGACCCACAGACTCGTGAGGGAGACAGACAGCACGCAGCCCTCAATGCCATGGGCCTCTCTGGAGGAGCTTTCCAAGGCCACCTTTGCTGGGAACAGACCCACCTCTGGCCCAAGTGGTCACTGCAGAGTGTCTAGCCTCTCAATATCTGTTGCCCGGACAGCATGGCTGGCATTTGCCCTGAGGGCAGCTGAAGGGAGTCTGTGCTCTCGGCCCCTCCACTGTGCTGGCTCCAGGACACCAGACAAGGGCGAGCGTCCAGGAAGGCACTGAGGGATGTGCGGTAGAGCCCGCAGCCGGACGCGGGGGGCGCGGAGTCCCAAAGAGCCTGCCAGGCAGGAGCCAGTGCTCGCGGGTGCATGTGTGCACTGGACACACGAGCCTCGTGCCAGCGCCATGCCTACCTCCTAAACACAGGTGGACAGCCTGGTGCCCGACGGGGGCCAACGGAGGCCGAGACAGGAGGAAAAGCGTGGGAGGAGGAGTCAGGCCAGAGAACAGAAGGAAACGAGTTCGAAAGGAGATAGAATCGTTGTCTTCGGCGCTGACGGAAGATGTGGCACCCATAAAAAAATGACAGGGTGCCATGAATACAGAGCAGTGGGAGCCGGACGGGGAAAACGACAGTGCATGCTTGGTGGGAAGGTTGGAAGATGACGTCGAGGGAAAACAGATGAAAACAGAGAAGAGGTCTGAACCAGGAGATAACCTCAGTGGGTTCATGCTCGTCAGTGGGTTTTCCAGAAAGATTGACCAGAGAGAACACACAGGTGGGAGAAGTGATCAGAGAAATAACCCTGGAAAACGTCTGGACCTAGAAGACACGCGTTGGAAGAATGCACGAGTCCCGGGCTCAGGGAGCGGGCTTGTTCCTGTGAGCGCCAGAGCCCTGGGCCAAAGCCGGGAGACCCACACCCTCGGCGGCGCTGGGGAGGGCCCCGCTCGGGCGTAATCCGAGGACGGACCTCAGATACCTCGCAGAGCTGGAAGCTGGAAGACGAGGGAGGAAGGGTTCTCCCCCTGGAAGAAAATACCCTCTGGCGGGACTTTAAACTCAGCCACGTCACCAGCCCAGGGGAAGGAGAAGGAAGACATTTCAAAGATCTACCTTCTGGTCCCTTCCTCTGAAGGAGTGGGGACACGCCAGAGCCAGGGAGGGGGGGTGCAGGACGGAGGAGGGTCTGGACAGCTGGACAAGCTCCAGCCCCGGAAGGAGGAACGGAGGCCGGGAGAGAGGACAGGTTCTCTGGGGACACACAGGCTGATGTGTTGATGTATGCAGCGTGTGATCAAGACACGCAGGGCGGGGACGCCGGAACACGTCCAGGAGGAAAGCCGCGGGTGAGCAGGAGGAATCATTAACGAAGAGGGGGGCGAGGCTAGCGTCCACGGACGCCCTCGGGTATCACCGCAGCCGGCGGGAGTGGCTGACGCCTACAGTGGGGAGATCTCGAAGCAGCAGGCTTTGCCTTAGTTACAAATTAGGGAAAACAAGAGCCTGGAGTGGAGGCCTGGGGCACAGGGCGCGGAGGAGGGCACACCCGTCTCTGATGACAAACCTTTGGGTGCTGTTGGACTTTGGAACCTGTGTCCAGGTAGTTCTGTGATAAACTGAGCATTAGGACGAGGGAGACGTGGTAGTGCCTGCAGTGGCTGCAGCCCCGGGGCCTGGGCTCGCGGTGCCCAGGCCTGTGGGTACAGCCACCTTGCTGGGCACCAAGGCCACACCTGGCAGCAGCTCACCCAACTGGTTCCACCCAGGCACTTCTGCAGACTTTGCCCTCTGCTGGGAGAGGCCAGGCCCCTTGCCTGGTCCAGCCTGGGCTCAGAGGGAGGAGTCAGGAGGAGTCAGGCCTGGGCCCCGATATGGGGACCCTGGAGGGAAAGAAAGAAAGGACGGGCGGGTGGGGGACTCTGCGCGTGGGCTTCGGGGGCACAATCGTAGAGTCGGCCCTTCCATGCTGCCTGCTCTTGTAACAAAGTGAACGCCTCATGTTTAGGGTGAAAGGACTCACGGGGGTTTAGAGGCTCCAGGCTGCCCACGTGGGTACATTTTATTGGGTGTGCTTATAGCCGGAAGTCTGAACCCCATTTCCCGGCCAGGCCTGGGTAAAAGGCGGACAAGTTAACATCTAGGGAGGCCTGGTCTGGCCGCTGCCGTCCTCTGTCCGGTGACTCAGAATGTCCCTAGGAATGCGTGGGCGGTCCTCCCTGGATGGGGGTGGCCAGGGCGACTCAGGGCCTCAGGGCCAGGGAGGCGCAGCCCAGATGCCTTCCTGGGAGGGTTCAGCGGAGAGCCTGACCTGTGTCCTGGGAGAGCTGAGTAGGACTGAGGGCCAGGCTTCTGGGTGCCCCACAGATGGTTCGACTGTGCTGTGACTCAGGCGCCCCATGCGGCCGGCCCTGCCCCACCTCCCCTCAGGGAGGGGTTCCTGGAAGCTTGGAACCTCACAGGGGAGACCCAGACCCCACATTGGGAAGCAAGTGTATGAGGTGGGGTTGGGCTGGGACCCACCTGGTGGGAAACGGCACCAAGAAGCCAAGTGGCGGATTCCAGCCCAGGTCTGCGGGGCCGCAGGCCCGAGTACCCCAAACTGCCCACACTTACACCCCCAGCTGGGGATTTGTCCTCCGTGTGTGTCCCCCACCAGAGGGAGCACAGTGACCTCACCCGGCCAGCCTGGACTGCAGGCCACCTGACCCAGACCCTAGAGTGTGGAGAACCAGCCACCTGTCCCCAGCCTGGGTCCCCGCAGGCCTGAGACTGTCCCACCCCTCCCTGCACACCCTAGGCGGGCAGCGCTCTGACCTCCCTGGGGAGGCCTAGTCACTATGGCTGTGCCAGAGCCAGCTCGACTGCAGGCTGCACGACCGGCCATTGAGTACTGGGACCCGAGCGCAGGCTCTGGCCAGGGCGGGTGCAGGAGGGCTGCGGGTGGCCGTCCGCGTGCTGCCCTTACCTTTGCCCTGTCCCCCAGGACCCTGCAGCCGCCCAGCATGTCCCAGCGGCATTCAGACAGCTCCTTGGAAGAAAAGCTGCTGGAAAGCCGCTTCCACTCGGAGTTGCGGCTGGATGCCAAGGGGAACCCAGCGTCCGGGCTCCCGATAGTCCGGGGGTCCCTGCGGGTCGCGGACAATGCCGCCTTCCAGCCTGACGTCCCGGAGCCCCTGCCTCCATCCTCCAAGGACACGGAACCACGGACCGTCATCCTGAGCACGCAGAGCGCCGCAGCCCTCAAGATGGGCACCGAGCAGCTGATCCCTAGGAGCCTGGCCGTGTCCAGCAAGGCCAAGGCCCCCGCCCGCCACCAGAGCTTCGGGGCAGCTGTGCTCAGCAAGGAAGCCGCCCGGTGGGGTCCCCGGCTCGTCGCGGCCCCCAGCTTCTCACTGGACGACATGGACGTGGACGTGGGCCCTGGGAGGACGCTGACACGGAATCTGCGTAACCAGTCCTACCGCGCAGCCATGAAGGGCCTGGAGACGCCGGGCAGCCAGCTGGGACCAGTCCATCTGAGCCCCAAGCTCCAGGCCCTGGCAGAGGAGTCCAGCCAGCCTCCCGCTCGGTGCCCGGCCAAGAATAAGGTAGCGGACGACAGGAGGGGGCCGTGCCTTCAGGGGCCTTGTGAGCGCACAGGCGGGGAGGGGTCTGACCCTGACATCACCACCCTGCAGCTGCCCCTTAGCGAGCGCCTGCTGTGTGCAGGCTCCTGACAGTCTATTTAATTAAGCCAACGTACTTCATACCTTCAGCCCGTCCCTGTGGGCCTGTGAGCTGAGTGTGAATGTCCCCGTTTTGCAGACAAGGCAGCTGAAGCTCAGAAAGGACCCCAGGCTCCGCTCCCCATTCTCAGACAGTGGGGAGCAGAGCCTGGGAGGGACCAGCCCCGATGGTGAGCCAGCCCGTCTGAAGGGCAGGTTGCCATGACTGCTTTGCAGCAGCACCTGGCCTGACTCGGTGCCCTGTGGCAGCTTCTGGCTGCCTCTAGCTCAGAAGCCAGATGCCCCCTCTATTTGCACCCCCCCCCCGCCCCGCCTGACAGCGGTGTCACCTCAGCGTTCTGGACAGAACAGGACACGGGGCCGGTGGGAAGGGCACCCTCACCCAGGACCCTCTGCCCACAGTTGCCATCTGCCCAGATGGTGAGCTGCAGCCACGGCCTGGACCCAAAGGATTGCTGGCAATCCGGCGTGCAGAGGGACAGGCCAGGGAGGACCTGGGCAGTGTCCTCAGTGTAAAGACTTCCCCAGCCTAGGGAGTGGAGCACCACCCCCTGCCATGCCTATCTGAGGTGCCGGGACCCCAGAAACTGCCTCAGGACCCCAGCACTCTGTGTCCGCCCAGGGCCAGGCCTGCAGGGTCCACTCATTCATTCACTATCGATTCATAGATTCAGCAGACATTCCGCTCACACACCCAGTGATGGGGTACGGAGGTGATCCCAGTGGGCAGGCCCCAGGAGAGCTTCCAGGGCAGTGGGGCTGCTCAGGAAACCAGGGGAGCACAGGGCCGGCGGGGGTGGGGGGAGGGGGGTTAAAGCAGAGGCATGGACAAAGGGGGGTGCGATGTGGGGAAGGGGCCCAGGCAGCGGCCTGTGCCCATACCTGAGGCGGGAAGGGTGGGGATGCTGGGGGAGCAGGGCCAGGTGCGGCTGGGAGCCCGCACGTTCCACACCAGCAAGGAAACGTTTCAAGCCCCAACTTGTTTAGCGAAACCAGCTCCCACTTTCCTGAAACCAGGTGCCTGCGAGGTCAGGAAAAATGGCATATCTCCGCCAAGAGGGCAGGCTCTGAGCAGGCCACTGGTGGGGCCAGGGTGTGAAGCCCCCGAGGGCCCTGCCCGCCCCCACTCACCTCTGCAGTCCTGCCGTCAGCTGCTGGGCCCTCAGACCTGTGCAGGAGCTGGACACTGACCTCCTCTACCCGCCACCTCAGGCCCCCCCTGCGTGGGTCGTGTGCAGCCCGGGCTCCCACCCCAGGCCCTCTCCTAACCACACCTGTGCTGCCTCGGACGCCCCTCCACGCCCCATGGAGCCGGCATTTACTGAGTGCCTACTGTGTGCCCATTAGAGCCCACTCTTGTTGGGCATCTCTTCACACGTGGGGCTGTGAGGTCCCTGGGCCCCCCGGGTGGAGCGATCTCTCTAGACCCACACCTGCCCCTCCCTGCTGAGTACTGGTGTTTCTGTGATTCATTTGACAGAGGACACTGGGGCGGAAACGTGCACACAAGGGCTCCTTCAAGGATGGTGAGTGTGGCCACGGGAAGCGACGGGGCTGGGTGGGACCTCACAGAGGCCAGTGTCACTGGGGCCATCCTGGGGGAGCGGAGAGGGGGCTCTGGGTGCGGTGGCACAGAGAACATGCTGCAGCACATCCCTCCAGGGACTGGAGTCCTGATGGCCGCCTGACCGTGTATCTCTGAGGAGTCTGGAAAGGCCTAGAAGGTTCCCTTGGCTCCCTTCCGCACTATCCCAGGGGCAAGGGACAGACAGAGCCCCACATTCGCCCCGACAGACAACTGTCGAGTGCCCCATGTGTGCCAGGAGACCAAGGCCCCAGGGGTGCAGACACACCTGCCGTGTACTCTGCCCGGGGTCTTCTCAGTCCACCGGAAGCCCGGTGGGGGCTGTGGGCTCAGGAGGGCGTGGGTGACGGCTGGGCTGTGGGAAGGCTCAGAGCAGTGCATTCGGCCTGCAGAGGGGCGGGATTCCACCAGGACCCCGCGGGGAGGTGGGGGGAGGTACCTGCCCGGCCAGGATGGGGCGGGCAGTCGGCATGAGGGGTGGGGCCGGTGGGGCCCGGGACGGGCTTCTGAGGACGCAGGGACCCCACCCAGGGCAGCCACAGGCCCGGGAGTGGGAAGGCATCAGGGTGCCTCCTGCCGCAGTGAGGTGTGGGAGGGGGAGGTTGGGGTGCTGCTGCACGGGCTCAGCGGCGCCGAGCTGTGGGCCGGCCTGGCCCAGGGGAGCTGCAGCGTGTCAGCGGGAGCCTGCACCTCCAGTTGGAGGCCTCTGTGCCCAGCCTGGGGGCAACCCCCACCCCACGCCCCTCTCCTAGGCCGGTCCAGGGGCCCCTGCAGTGCTGGTTTGTCTTCTCAGCCTGTTCTGAAGGTGCCACGTTCTGCTCTGGGATGCACCCCCGTCCTGGGCTCACCCGGCACAGCCACGGGCACCAGCCAGCCCGAGGGGAGCCCTGCCTGACACCCTCAGGGGCTCCTCGGGAGGACTCGGCCTGGGGCTTCTGGCCTGCTCACAGCCTCCAGGCCTGCCGGTGATGTGCCCCCTCTCCCCAGACCCCCGGTTCTACCAGGAGATTCGGGAACGGGGCCTGAATACCAGCCAGGAGTCTGACGACGACTTGCTGGATGAGCCCTCCAGCCCCCAGGGGACCCAGAAGGTGGCCTCCCCCATCGTGGTCCAGAGCTACCGGCCCCCCCAGATCACCTGGAGCCAGCTCCCGGAGGTAGGGTGAGGCCCTTCCCGAGCCTGTGGGTGGCCGGCCCCGAGCAGCTGACCCAGGTCCTCCCGGTGAGAGGGAGCCTTCCAGAAGCGCCCCGTGTGCACCCAGCTTGCAGCGGGGGTCCCCTGCCCTCTGGGGTAGCTTGGTATTGGTCACTGTGGGGAAGAGACGGTCGGGGCATGTGGCATCTGTGCATGTGTGACGGGCGTCCCACGGGTGAGCCCCTAGCCCTCTGCTTCCTGCTCAAAGTGGCCTGCAGGGAGCTGTGGGCACAAGGGATGCTGTTCCCAGGGCCCCACCCCCAGGAAGCAGGAGGGTTGGGGAGCGGGCACGGGGCTGGGGACCAGGCTCCGGCTTCCACAGAGCCCTGTGCCACTGCCAAGCCACCCCTCGCTTTCTACATCTGGAAACGGGGCCAGTCCCTGCCCTGCAGGGCTGCAGGGGCTTGGTGGCGAGCACAGCGGGGATGAGGCCCCGAGACTCTGAGCAAGTCCAGGGGAGGCAGCTGTCACTACCCCAGGAGGGCACAGCTGGCCATAGGCAGACAGACTCCCGACCCCGACCCCGTCCCCTGAGAGCAAGGACGGAGCTGGGCTGCAGGCTGTGGGCGTTGGTGGGCACGTGGCTTCCCCTCTGTCTGCGGGGCAGTGGGGTTCCCTGTTTGTGCCCCCAGGGGGGATGAGGAGCTGAAGCCGTGACCGCCCACCACGCTCCAGGCTGTGGCACCCCAGCCAGGGAGGGCACAGGTTAGGGTGAGGGCAGGTGGGTGGAAAGTCAAGAGATATATATTTAATTCCTCCAGGTCAGAGATGGGGTTCAGGACTCTGTACCCTCAAAATGCCCAAGATTTTATCCTAGCCCCCTAAGCTGGGGGGATCTCGGCTAAGCCCCTGGGCTAGAGGCAGAGGCATGGAGTTTCGCCCCCCTCAGCCCAGGCCCTGGTGACCGCCTCTGGCCAGCCCAGTGAGGAGGAGGGCAAGAATGGGGTGGCCCTGGTCCTGCAGAGGGCACCCTCAGGCAGGGGGACAGCCCAGCCTGTCCAGGAGGGCTGTGCAGGGACGTGTCAGGCATGCTGTGGCTGAGAGCCACACTCCACCCAGGGCAGCCTGGAGGCCACAGGGCCCGAGGGGGTGGACAGCTGGGGTGGGGTACCATGCTGGAACACTGTCACCCCAGCCTCCCACTTGGGGCGCTGACTGACCTGGCCCAGGCCTGTCTGAGCCCCGGCCCTGCCCCCAGCATGCCCTCAGCTTTCCTGGGTGGTCTACCCCCTCCCTGGGGCAGCTCTGTGGGACAGAGCCCCCCTGTTCCCCACCCCCCCCCAGTACCTGCCAGCCTTCCCCTATGGACCCTGTCCTCTTGCTCAGCCGCCTCGGGGCTCTTTGGAGGGAGTGGGCCTGCCTGGGGTGGGGGTTTCACAGAGAGGAAACCTGTCGGTGACGGGACCGAGCAGGCACAGGCCCACTCAGCACCCCACTGCGCTGAGCCACAGGAGGGTGCCGCTCTGCCCGCCCAACTCCCGCCTCCCCGTCCACACCGCCTCGCGCACAGCGGGGAGGGCGCGCTTCCCGGCTGTGTAACGCCTGACTCCCGGCCCGTGTTCCCGATAGGTGGTGGAGTCGGGCATCCTGGATACGCTGCCAGCTGAGGAGCGCAAGAGGCAAGAGGTAAGGGGTTGGGCAGGGGGCGCAGCCCCACATCCAGCCCTCGTGTGGTGACGTGGCCAGCCCGCCCGCCCACCCATCGGCCACCTCGGCCAGACATCAGGATGATGACTGACGTCCTTGGCGGGGTGGGGGCAGGGGGTGGCTACCGGTGGTCCTTCTCAGATGAGGGTGGGCGTCCCTGCCCAGCACCACAGCTCATAATTGGCCGAGCCAGGGTGCAAACCCAGGAGTGGAGCCCGTGTCCCCGTGGCTGTCCTGTCTGCCCACCCAGGGCCTGCCCGTCCAGGGGCCCAAGCGCCTGCTTGCCCCCTCACCCAGAGCGTATCGCCGTGGCTTGAGCACCCATCACAAATGCACCCTGTGCCAGACCCCCTCTGTGGCGCGGTGCCTCGTCCAGACCCCTTTCCAGGCAGGGCCCTGGTGGGCACGGGGCTGCGCCAGCATCGCTGTTCTCCCACCCAGGCCATGTTTGAGATCCTGACGTCCGAGTTCTCCTACCAGCACAGCCTGGGCATCCTGGTGTCCGAGTTCCTGGAGTCCGAGGAGCTGCGAGCGACCATGACCCCGACGGAACACCACCACCTCTTCTCCAACATCCTGGACGTCCTGAGCGCCAGCCAGAGGTGAGGCCCGGGCCACGCGCCTGGAAGCCACCTCGCCTGTCGACGTGTGATGGTGGTGGCGGGCTCTCGGGCAGGTGGATGGGAGGTTGGGAGCAGCCGCTGGCTGGGAGGGACTGTGAGGACCTCCCTGGGCCCTGAGGCCACCGAGAATGGCCCTGGAGATGAGTGAGCACCGGAGCTGTGTGCGTCCTGCACCCCGTCCCCTGGACGTCCGAGAGGTGGAGCACCTCCCACGGGGCACAGCCTTGTCCGATGACAGGCATGTTCCCACCAGGACACCCAGGCCCAGAGGGCCAGGTGCTCCGGGGCGGCACTGTGGGAGATGGCCTCCAGGCGCACCGGGGTCGTGTTCCTTCCGGAGTGTCTGGTGCCCAGCCCAGGGCTCCGGTTGCAGCCTGGGAGGTGGAAGGGGGCCAGGCGTTCAGCTGCAGGCCCTCCTGGGGCCGTGTGTGCGTGTGCGTGTGTGCGTGCATGTATGCGTGCAGGGCAGCAGGTGCGTGATTGTTTACTCCTGTGGAGGGTTCAGTCCATGTATGCACCTGTGTGGGCTCAGCCCGAGCTGCCGTGGACCCTAGGAGACCCGGACATCCTCCCTGAGCCTCGGCAGGCCCCCATTGCAGACTGGGGTGGGTGGGTGGCGGTGGGGGCTGTGGGCTCAGGAGGGCGTGGGTGACGGCTGGGCTGTGGGAAGGCTCAGAGCAGTGCATTCGGCCTGCAGAGGGGCGGGATTCCA